TTTTGATCAATATATTTTTAATTTTCACAATATTTGGAAAAGAGTGGACTATAAATGGAACTATTTCATGGATGTGACAGAAGATAACTTTGGTACTTCAAGGGGTTAATAAGCTAGATTTGTATTTAATTTTAAATATTTCATTCACCATCTAATTTATTCTTTCAATGCCCCTCAGCTCATTGGATGTAACATTCATCCCTTTGTACATTATGTGTAATGTTACCAAGATTGGACCTACTGGACCAACCATGTTAATCAGTATTTACTTTTGGAGGCTCTCAATCAAAATGCTTTCCAGGAACAGCCATCATCAGCACAACATGTACCAAAGAAATTGAACGATGGGTCCTCTCTTTTCTAAAATATGGCAGATGTACCTACGGAGATTTGTAACTGTGGACCCCTCACTGGATCCATTGACCACATTATCTATCTAGACCTCACTTTGGTTACAAAGCTGTAAAATATACACAGTGTTGTATATCAAGTATCTACAAGTTAAAGGCAGGCAGCTTCCATATCTATACAAGCTGATATGTGATACATCAAGTATCTACAAGTTAAGGGCAAGTAGCTTCCATATCTATACAAGCTGATATGTGATATATCAAGTATCTACAAGTTAAGGGCAAGTAGCTTCCATATCTATACAAGCTGATATGTGATATATCAAGTATCTACAAGTTAAGGGCAGGTAGCTTCCATATTTATACAAGCTGATATGTGATATATCAAGTATCTACAAGTTAAAGGCAGGTAGCTTCCATATCTATACAAGCTGATATGTGATACATCAAGTATCTACAAGTTAAAGGCAGGTAGCTTCCATATCTATACAAGCTGATATGTGATACATCAAGTATCTACAAGTTAAGGGCAAGTAGCTTCCATATCTATACAAGCTGATATGTGATATATCAAGTATCTACAAGTTAAGGGCAAGTAGCTTTCATATCTATACAAGCTGATATGTGATATATCAAGTATCTACAAGTTAAGGCCAGGTAGCTTCCATATTTATACAAGCTGATATGCGATACATCAAGTATCTACAAGTTAAGGGCAGGTAGCTTCCATATCTATATATGCTGATATGCGATATATCAAATATCTACAAGTTAAGGGCAGGTAGCTTCCATATCTATACAAGCTGATATGTGATATATCAAGTATCTACAAGTTAAGGGCAGGTAGCTTCCATATTTATACAAGCTGATATGCGATACATCAAGTATCTACAAGTTAAGGGCAGGTAGCTTCCATATCTATATAAGC